TACCTCACGTTTCTGGCTTCCCATGGATCTGTGGCCCCTGAAGCAACAGGCTGCCCACCACAGTCACCCCAAAAAGGGGGCCAGTGAAAACTAAGAGAGAATGAGGAAGAACAAAAGAACAACTTCTTTACATTTCTGGCTCTGTGCAGCACAAGCATTTCCAATGAAAAATAAAGAATTCTTTCTTCTGTGTCTGTTTCAGCTGGCCCGGATGCTTTTTTCTTTTTCTTTTTTTTTTTTTTTCCTTCATTGCTTCCCTCCACCAGGTTCCCACCCCACCCTCTGCCCTTCTTCACCCCCCATTGTCCTAGGATGCTTTTCCCTTGTGAATAATGTCACCGCATCACTATTCTGTCCCTCAAGGTAACACAAAATGAGCAACATAACCACCAGAAGTGTGCTTGTGTGGAGGAAAGGGCTGATGTAAAAGCTTTTTCACGTAATGTGGCTGTATTCCCTCCTATTTTACCACACATCTTCAGGTTGTTTCCAAACCTATGGGAAAGTTCTTATTTTGAAGACAAGGTGTACAAATAATGCCTCTTAGAAGCACCCCCCCCCCCCCCAACAGACAACACTTTTAAAAAAGTTTTCTTGCTTTTAGTCTTTTGGGATTCCTGGAGTGTCTACAAATAGATTAGCCTTTATGAATTCCGAGTAACCATGGTTAGAAAAAAAAACAACACTGGTTTAATTAGCCATGGTCCTATTTTTGAAATTACATCTGCTCTCTCTCTCTTTTCTTAAATGAGGCTTGGTCTTTGCAAAAACCCTAAGAAGATGGATTTTGTAGATGGGGGGGGGGGGCAGTGCATGTTAGTTTTTATTTGAATTAATTTTCATGCTTTTGAAAGCAAAATCAAGAGTATTGAGTGAGTAATGTAGGCTTCATACATTAAACATGATCAAATGAAGAGCACTGAAGAGAAATGATTGCAGAGAATTGCTGGAAATACTGGATCATCAGATGTATGCTTCTGTAACTGAGTGATAGCAAATCATTCTTTGTATGGCTATATCATTTTTTTTATCCCAAATCCTCAGACTTGATTAATCATTGAAGTGATGAAAATGAGAGGGCCATGTGGTTCGCTCAAGGGTTATTGAGTATCAGAAACCAAGTACATAATCCACAGGACTTGATTCCCAGGTTTGAAAGTCTTTATGTGACTTCTCACTTGATACTATTTTTCATTTCTGAAATAGTGATTGAAATGGTCACTGCTTTTTTTAAGTTAATTTTTTAACAATACTTCTTAATATCAGAACTCTTTCAGGACAGTCAGTGTTCCTCAAAGTCTTCGATGACAAATCTCCAATGATACTTGGTTTTGTTTAAATGGCTGCCCCCAAATCATTTGGGGTGGAGAGGGCACTCAAATTTTAACTTTTATTGGATATGATATTAGTTTCTGACTTCAGCATTTGTCTTTAAAGAATTCTGAATGCACATGGAAGTCACTCTTTTTGGGGTCGTCTGTATTATCTCTTGTTGCATACAAGTTATCCCAAAATTTATTAACTTAAACAGCAAGAGTTAGGAATCTGGCGTGGCTTAGCAGAGCATCTCTAGTTCAGGGTCTCTAACAAAGCCTAATAAAGGTGCATTGACCAGGGGTGAGGTCAGAATCAAGGGCTGATTCGGGGATGATCTACTTCCAGTCTTGATCACAGGGCTGTGGAAGCCATCCGGTCCTCACTGCTGTGGCTAGAGACTCAGTTCTTTGCCACGTGAGCCTCTCCATAGGGCAGCTCATAACATGGCGGCTGTCTTTCTTTAAAGCGAGTGGGCAAGGGAGGACAGTGCAAGATAGAAGCCACAGTCTTTTTGTAACCTAACCTTGGAAGTGAAAACCCCTAGTTTTTTCTTTTTGTTAGAGGGAGGCTACTAGGTCCAGTTCATATTCAAGTAGAGAGTGTTTCACAGGGTCTGCACACCAGAGCAGGTTCATATAGGGTCATCATAAAGGCTGCCTGCCACACCATTTGTCTTAAGGTGTGTTATCCTGTCATAAGATACAAAGCCCTCTGACACCACAGTGGCTGTCAAATAACCATGCTGTTTAGAATTGAGGTGAAGAATTTGCAATAATAGATATTCTTTGGTTTGGGGTGGTAATCCTTCCATAAAGAAAAATGGGGGAGGGTGTATAAAACAGCATGACAATAGAGGTTCTCTTGGTTTTCATTTTAATATTAAAGCAGAAATCAGATTTTTAAAAATATGTATTTTTATTGATTTCAGAGAGGAAGGGAGATGAGAGAGAATTATTGATTGGCTTCCTCCTGCATGCCCCCACTGGAGATGGAGCCTGCACCCTGGACATGTGCCTTTGACTGACCAGAATCGAACCTGGGATCCTTCAGTCCACATGCTGATGCTCAGACTAGGGCCAGAAATAAAATTTTATTTTATTTTTTTTAATTTATTTTATTTTTTTACAGAAATAAAATTTTAATGATAAACCTGCAAACATTCCAAGTGTGAATGTAAAATGGCACAGTCACGCTGGGAAAAAAAAGTTTGATAGTATCTTTAAAAAGTTAAATATAGCTCTGGCAGGCTGGTTCAATCAGTTGGAGCATCCTCCCAATGTGCTGAGGTTCTGGGCTGGATTTGATCCCTGGTCAGAGCACATGCACGAATCAACCAATGGGTGCATAAATGGGTGGAACAATAAATCTCGACCCTTGTTCCATCCCCCTCCCCCCCGATCCTGCTTCCTCTCTCTTTCTAAAAAATCAATTTTAAAAAGTTAAATATAAATTTTCTATTATCACCAAACATTTCATTCCTAGCCATTTACTTAGGAGAAATGAAAACATGTCTATATGATGACATAATGTATACAAATGTTCATAGCATTATTCATAACAGCCCAAAACTTGAAACAATCTAAACCAAGTACTTTGTGTATTTGAGTAAATACACAAATACAACCAAAAACTATCCAGTGATAATAAGGAGTGAAATACTGACATGGATAAACCTCACAAAAAAATATATGAGAAAGAAGGCGGACAAGCCCTGGCTAGTTTAGGTCAGTGGATGGAGTGTCATCCTGTGGACTTAAAGGTCCTGGGTTTGATTCCGGTCAAGGGCACATGTCCAAGTTTTGGGCTCCATGACCAGTAGGGGACATGCAGAAGGCAGCCGATCCATGATTCTCTCTCATCATTGATGGTCCTCTCTCTCTCCCCCTCTCTCCCTTCCTCTCTGAAATAAATATGTATTTTTAAAAAAGGCAGACAAAGACCATCTATTGTAATATTCCATTTATATGAACTGTCTAGAACAGGTAAATCCACTGAGACAGAAAGTAAATTAGTTGTTGGGGCTGAGGATAGGTATGAAGGATCCTATGGGGTGAAGGAAATGTGAAATTAGTGGTTATGGTTTACTGATAATCCTTGAATTATATAAAAATGAGTGAATTTCACATGTAATTTATACTTTAATAAATTGATAAAAATATTTTCAATGATAATGGGTGAAAACGAGCTTGCGCAACATAAATTAAATCAAGTTCAGCTGTGTCAGCTTCGGACCTTATGCCACTTCCCTTTTTCCTCCCAACAGTCTGAAATTTGGTCCTAAGATTGAATTCTGGGACCTTGGTCCCTGATATGGCTAACTGTCAAATCATTAAGCCACAGAAAGTTGATTGTATTTCTGTTATATGGCCCTTCTATTTTTTCCCCCCACCTCATCTGATTTTGTTTTTTTTTAGTCTCAATTTCCTTTGGGTTAATTTTTAAAGGATTTTGCAACTACTGGTTTAATACTACCCCCACCCAATCTCCTTTTTATCTCAGAGAGCTGATTTTCCTACTTTTCAGCTGTTTGAAGAATATAATGATCATTTCTGCCTGGACTTTGTAGGAGAATTATTTCATTTTGGCTGCTGGAGACTCGTGGCAACCATTCTCCAAGTTTTTCTAAATCTTTACCTTTTTTATCTGATGGTTCTGGGCCATTGAGAGGAGTGTTGGTGTTTTCCTCCCTATCATTTCCTAAAGTATTTCCCTTTTTTACAAAACTAGATTCTTCACTGGAAAAAATCAAGTTACCTACTTGCTTCCAGTTTAATTGCAACACATGTTTAAAACGGACTACTGTGCTGGCTAGCAATCTAAGTTAAAGTAAAACTTCTGAAGGGGCCAAGGTCTAAAGTTCGCACATTCTTATGAGAGGCCTGTTCGGTCTCCACCGGGGGAGACCCCATTATCCACAGCTCTACCAATCACGTACACTTCCTTTTGAGTCTCATGAATGAGGAAAAAAGTTCAAGTGAGGGGAGAATGGGTTCAAATGAAGGTCAGATAACCCAAGCGTTTTGTGGTTACTGAGTTGCAGGGGCCGGCGAAGTGGGGAAAAGGTAACCAGATGTGAGCGGCCCCGGGGGGAAGGCTGCTTGGCAGGAAAGGGAGGACGGCCTGCCTTTGAGACTCCCGGCGACCCTGCGCGCCCACTGCGTGCCCGGGGTTGGGGATACAAAGAAACACGACGGGATGCTTGTGTCCCAGGTGCTTTGCACACACATATATCCAGGCAATGTCCGCCTCGAAAGCGCTCGCTGTCCTTTTCTTAGGTTGCATCAGGTGGGGGCAATCTCGGGTAAGCCTCGCAGCCCGAGGACATAGCAGGGATATTGGGAGGCGGGGAAGAAACGCTTCCCCCTCCCGTCTCCGGCACTAGGCCGGCCCCGCAGGCGAAGACAGACACGCCCTCTCCAAAGGGCAGACCCGCCTCGAGGAGGGCGGATCCGGGCTGGATGGGGCCGCCAGGCCCTCACCCGACCCCCGCGAACGCCGTCCAGCGCGGCGCCCGCTCCTCACGTGTCCCTCCCGGCCCTGGGGCCGCTGTACATTCTGCTTCCGCCCCGACCCTTCCGACTTCCGGTAAAGAGTCCCTCAGCCTGCGTCTCCGCGCCCACCAGGCAGCGCCGCCGATCGCGTCTCCGTCCGCGGCCTCCGATGCGCTCGGCAGCCGCGGGTCCTCGGGGCCCGGCCGCGGGCCTCGAGCCCCGCCGCTCAGCCGCGGCCAGGGGTTCCGGGCGGCACTCGCTGCCGCGGCCCGAGCGGCGGGGCGGCGGCAACGAAGCTGCGGCCCCGTATCCCTCCGCCGCTCCTCCTCCGCCCGGCCCCGGCCCCGGCCCCCCTCCCTCCGGGCTGCGCTCGCCACCCTCCGCCTCAGACTGTTTTGGTAGCAACGGCAACGGCGGCGGCGGCGCGTCCCGGCCCGGCTCCCGGCAGCTCCTCGGCTTCGGCGGGCCCCCCCGCCCCTTCGTCGTGCTCCTGCTCCCCGTCGCGGGCCCGGGCGCCCCCCCGGCCGCGCCAGCCCGCGCCTCCCCGTTCGGCGCCCGCGCGTCCCCGCCGCGCTCCGGCGTCTCCTCGGCGCGCCCGGCTCCCGGCTGTCCCCGCCCGGCGTGCGGGCCGGTGTATGGGCCCCGCACCATGTCGCTGAAGCCCCAGCAGCAGCAGCAGCAGCAGCCGCCGTCCGCGGCCGCCAGCACCCGCAAACCCGGCGGCGGCGGCGGCCTCCTCACGTCGCCCTCCGCCCCGCCGCCCTCGCCCTCGCCCTCGGTCTCGTCCTCGGCCCCGGCTTCCTCCTCCTCCTCCTCCTCGGCAGCGGCGGCGGCGGCGAGCGCCGGCAGCGGGCGGCCCGGCCTGGGCAGGTGGGTGTCGCGCCCCAGCCCCCTCCGCGCCCGGCGAGCCTGGGCCTCGCGTCCCCTCCCCCGCGGCCCCACCGCCGTCCCCGCCCCGTGACCAGCCGCGCTGGGGGGGTAGGGATGGGGGTGGGGGAGGTGGGCCGGGGGCCCGCAGTGGGGTGGGGCTCCCCGCTCCGGCCCGGAGCCCGGGGGGCTGGGTGGGAGGCGCCCCGGGCTCCCTCCGGGAATGTCAGGCCGCGGCCAGCCCCTGCGGCACCCCACCCCCTCCCCAAACGGCCAAGATGGAAGGACGGGGCAGCCTCCCCTCCCCGGGGGAGTGTTGGGGAGCGGTTCGCAGGTCGCGGCGACGGCCAGCCTCGGGCCCCCCTCCCGGGAGCCGCCTCCGGCCCGCACGGAGGGGGGATGCTTGGCCGGCGCCTCCCAGCCCCTCCGATTTAGACAGGAACGTGGAAGGGTCGTGACGTTTGTGTTCGGTCTCTCGAAACTTGCCAGCTCCCCCGGTTGGGATTGACGAAGGGGCAGCCACGGGGCACATCTGGAATCGCTGGGGCCTGCCCGGGGCCCGCAGCCCCCCTCCCGGCCCCTGAGGGATCGCGGGGAGCCGGGGCTGCGGTGGGGGGCGGGCGGGGGCCCCTGCGGCCCCGCGTGCAAATCCGAGGCCCGGACTCCCCCACCTGGGGACGGGGTGAGTGGGGAGGCCCAGCCCCCTCGCGGCCTCCGTCCTTCCCCCCGCAGGGGCCTCTCCGGCGGGTGGTGGCCGGAGCCGCATTGCTGCTCCGAGGCCGCGGGAGGGAAGGCGCCCGGGGATCGCGGCGGCGAGGGCCGGGCCGGGCCGGGGGCCGCGCGGGTGGCCGCGGCGGGCGCGCTGCGCATGCCCCCCCGCCCCAGGGTCTGCAGTCCGGAGGGGAGAGGCATGGCTGCGGCGGCGGACTTGGTGGGGTTCCCGGGATCAGCAATGCGGGTGCTGCCCCGCGGGGCCTCCCCCCTCAGCGCCCAGGAGCCAGGGTTGCCGTGGGACCGGGGGGCTCCGTGTCGGCTCAGGTAACGGGGCTGGCCCGGGAGGGTGTGCGCGCGCGCGGGTAAGGCCAGGGGCGGCGCGTGCACGGGGGGTGGTGGTTGTCAGTTCGTATTTCACGAACCAAGAAAATGCTTAGTGTTCAGACGGGGCAGCAAATGTCAATAGACTCCGTTCCTTTGTGGCCGGTGTCCTTAACTTGGGGAGTGCCGCCAGAGCGCACCAAGGGCACGCAAGTCCATTTCCCCTGGGCCGGCCCCGCCGCTGCCCGCCTCCCTCCCCAGGCCTGGGCGGCGCTGGCAGGGCCGTGAAATGGCCATCCTGAGCTGTACGAGGTGGGGTTTAGGGTGCCCCTCCCTCGTTCATCCCAGCTGGGGGAGTTGGCAATTAAGGTAAAATCATGCATCGAGTTTTTTGGGGTTTTTTTGAAAACAGGTTTTTAGCAATCCGTTTTAGATGAAACTGAACTGATCTTTACGTAGTGCTGCTGCCTTCATTGGGGTGGGGGGAACATTGGTTTTCTGACTTCTACCCTTACTCCCTTTCCCCAGACAGTTTACCTACAAAAGCTATCTAGCATTTAGCTAATAAAATAGTTCAAATGAAGTGCCCATTTCCCCCCACTTTGTCCACTTAGGATTCTGTAACTTAAGCTTCCCTTTCCCCGTGGCATCCATAATGAAAAATGGAAAAAATTTAAATATAATTTTTTAAGAAAAGGAGGCATTGATTTTTTTTTCCTTCTTAGGTATCAGATAGAAATCTGGCAGATATGTTCAACTCGTTCAAATAAGACTTAAAAATGAGCTTTTAACCTGCATAGGCTCTCCTTAAGCTTTAAGTTCTTTTACAATTTATAAATTGTAGCCCTCTTTTTTATAAGAATGTGGAGTTTTGTTTGATGTTTTGGGTTCATATGATGTGAAGTTTTGTGCAGATCTTTAGTTAATGTACTCGTAGAATTCTTTCCATTTGAATCACTGTTAACTGGGTTCTTCATAAACCAATTATTTCTCAAGTGTCCTCACTTGTGTTGGAGTGTTTCGGCTATTAAAATAAGTTTGAGACTGAGGGTGAAGAAAGAAAATGCAGCATGGGGTTTGCCTTGTTTAGAGATAGGAAAATATTTTTGAAAGTCTAGAAATTCACATCAGCTTTAAATAATACAACATTTATAAATATTTGACTGGGGGGGAGGTAAATGATGGATTCGTTTGGCTTTCAAAATTCTGTTTTTGTCATATGTGTTTCAGGAGGTGGTTTTCCCCCCTCTTAGAACAATGTAACCACACTGTTAATACTTGATCATGATTTTACCTTAATTCCAATTCTTATTTTGGCTCATTTTTATGTAATTTTAGCGACTAGTTGATTATTTTGTGTTTAGCTTTTTTTCTTCAACTTTTTTTTTTTTTTTTTTAGATTTCTTAACCATTCTCTAGTTGGGAATTATGTTTTAAAATTATAGATAATGGTGCAGAATATCTTTATACTAATAGCTTTTTTGATAAGTCTAATTATTTCCTTAGAGAAAGTTCCCAGGAGTGGTTTTACTAGGTCAAAGGGCTTGAAGATTTTTATGGCTCTTGCTAGCTGTGCCATATTACTCTTCCGAGGACTTGTGTAAGTTTCCAGTGCCAAGAAGGTGGCTCTTCTATAGAATAGTATCTTTGTAGTTTGTCAGACACAGGGAGGGGTTTCCAAGAGAAAAGGTGTACTTTCGGGTGAAGTGCATACATTATTAAGTGCTTTTGTTAGCACTTTTGAGTGAGTTTGAATTTGGTGTCTCTGAGGATTTTATGAAATAATATATGTGAAGCTGCTTTGAAAACTGGGACTGTTAGTATTAAGGAGAACACATGGTTTATGTATTGTGTTGCTATTTCTACTAAGTAGAGGAATAAAAGTCCTGAGGACTTCTGAAGCTTTTTTGGTGATTTGTTGTTTTGTCAACTTTCCTCATTCACCAAAGTATTTATTAGTATTACTCCATGACCAGTTTATTTTTGGTATCTTTTATGTATAATAGTTTCCTGGCACTATTGGGAATTAGCACTGGTTAACCCATATCTTTTCCTTTTCTCCACTTAAAAAAAAAAAAAATGCTGGGTTTACAACCTATAACCATAGTTTCTATTCTAAATAATATAACAAGAATTTTATTTTATGGTATAAAGGATCAATAAGAACTTTTAGTAATTTTCACTTTTTATTGTTTTTACTGCTTTCTCTGAAGGCCTTGCAATGTAGAACTTATGATGCAGTTTAGTGTAATGGTTCATCATGCTCCCATTTAAATATCAGTGATATGTTCATCTCTTTAAATACTTTTATTTATTTACTTTTATTTTTATTTTTATTTTTTTTAGTAAATCTTTATTCATATTATTACAAATGTTCCTCATTTTTCCCCCCTCCATTGCTCCCCTCCACCAGGTTCCCACCCCCCCCTCTGCCCTTCCCCCCCCCCCCCCCCATTGTCCTCATCCATAGGTGCACAGTTTTTGTTCAGGCTCTTCCCGCACCCCCCCACTCCTCTTTTCCCCGAGAATTGTCAGTTCACTCCCCTTCCATACCTCTGATTCTATTTATATTCGCCAGTTAATATTGTTCATCAGGTTTTTTTTTAATTCCCTTGGCTCTTTACATACTTTTAGAAAAGCTTAAAAACATCTACATTTATTCAACATATTGAAAATATATGTATCAATGAATAAAAGGCAGTAGTTTACATTCAAATGTGAACCAGACTATAAACATAACATTAAATTAGCAAGCTGTATTTATGCTCTCCTCTAGTATGAGACCACCTCATATTAGAGGGGAGCACATTAAGGGAGTAGTAATATGGGAGTATGGGGGCAGAGGGTGGGAAACATTTGAGCAAATTTTGGAGGAGGTAGTCATTTGCTATTAATATAGATTAATTAGTCACATAGCCCCATTTGTAATTTATAAGGTTTAAACTGCATTATCCTTTGTTAATTTCATTTTTTTTATCTGGTTATTGATAATAACCAAAATTGAAGTTGGACAAAAAAAGTTAATTGGCATTTAAGTCATTAGAGGCAAGCTGTGAATGGCTGTTAAAAGAGGTACATTTTGTTTTTCTATCTGGCTTATTTATATTATCTAATCAGTTTAATTTTCATTCCAAGTATCTAGAGAAAATACACTTTTTATGATTGGGCAAAAACCTATATCATATTGCTCATCAAAGAAAAATGTCTACAGTTGCTTTTAAAGATTTTGCATTCTTAAAAGTCAAAACATTAATGGTATCAGTCATGGTGTTCCTTTTTTGGTTAAATTGTAAACTTGTATTTTCTGTGTTTCTCTAATTAGAGAAACGGTTACAATTTTACGAAGGGGATGTTAACTCATATCATAGCTATTTAATAGCCATATGTTTCGACTTAGAGGGGAGGATTTTTTTTTTCCCTCTAAATAGCTACAGCTGTGTTAGAACTTATATTCACCATAGCAAAATGTTTTTATACTTTGAAATGGATTTTAAGTTTTTAGAAAAAAAACCCCTCCCCCCCCCAGAACTTTTAATTTCCTACTTTGGCTAGATAGTAATAGTATTTTGATACTATATAAAATGTTGAGCCTGAACAAAATCCTCTTTTTGTAGCTATTTCAAATGATTGTGACAACTTCAGTGGAGATGTAAATAGAGATTTAAGGGCCTATCTGCTGCTGTATCTTTTAAAGTAAAGTTACTTTTTTCTTTTTTCAAAGGTTAATGTGTCATCTATGACTGTTACCTTGCCACGATTTTTTTTTTTCTTCCATGCCACGATTTTAAGAGATTGATACAGTGGTCTTTTTAGCGAGAGTGTTACTAAAATAAAAATAGAGTGCTTTTTCCTATATCAACTTGAGGTTTGGTTTTCCTTTTTTTTTTTTTTTTTTTGCCTCGGATGTTAGACTTCAAAAAAGGGGTATTTTTATTAGAGAATTTACTCATCAATGAATATGAAGCTTT